GGGTGCTTCATTTCGCTGCTTATCTGCGCGTTTCTCAGTCTACCACCAACTCTTAGAACGCCTTCTTCATCTAAATAAGGTATGTAAGTTTACTATCTTGCTCGGGGTATTTACGCTCTGTTTTGCTTTGAGATCTTCTATCTCTTACGAAAACTCTTCTTGCTGAACCTGCTTGATTATTCTTTGCTTTGCTCCTCTGACTTCATCTAAAGTTAAGTACGATCGCATCTTCATTTTTGTTCTTGTAGTGTTTATGAAACGGTATACCCAGGCTGCGATGCAGATCAATTTATTCAATTTACTGTATTTCTTCATAATTCGACCCAAAATATTCATTTCTTGATCTTGGTATGTCGAAATATTCATCTGCTTTACCTTCTTTTGTTCTTCTATGATGTCATAACTTGTTTCTTCTTGTTTATCTTGATAAGTAGGTAGCCAGCTTGGTCTCTGCCACCACAGAGAATACTCAATAGTTGTGTAGCAGTTAAGCCTCTGCTTGCACAGTCCGCTGTATTGTCCTGGGACTTTACGTATTGCCAGTCTTGTGCGGAAATGACGTCGGTAACGTGCTTGAATCTGTTCGCTACGAAGGTTTTCCACCTGCTTGGATCACCCTGCCGCCACCCTAGTACTGCCGTGGAGTCAACGCAGCCTTATTGCTTGATTTCGTAATTTTCTAAACTCTGTTTTACCTTAGACATTAATTTTGCTAACAAAACTGCGCCCCATAATTCAAGTCTAGGTAAACTTACAGTTTTTCTGACCGGCACTAACCTTGTTTTTGTAGCGACCTGATCCACTGTATTTTGGTCTCCACGATTTATTTTGCAATATATTGCGCAAGAGTATGCTTTATTGACGAGTCGCAAAGTCCATGCAACTCAATAACTCCGGTTTCATTTGTATTGAGCCATCTTTTTACTTGAATTTTTCGGTGTTAAGAATATCATCCCTGATTTTCTGCCACTCCATATTGATGTCATCGGGAAGTGTATCATTCCAGTCGACGTTACATAGCCACGTAGATTGGAATAGTAGCTTCAACTTGGTAGTTAGTGGTGAAATCCAGCCCAGAGGGTCCCAAAGAGTTGATATATTGATATGTATGTGTAAGTGTTGCTTGTCTGACGAGCTTGCATTTTGGATTAGAAAGTCTTCTTGAGGGTTCCATCTCAACCCTAAGGTCTTTATAATTAATAGAATCAGACGTTACTTTGCGGAAATCCATTATATAAAAGCTTTTAGAAAAATTTATTTTTTATTTGAGGGAGGGCGGGAGGTGCTCTTCATACTAGGTAAGACACATCATTTTATTTTATAACGCGGATATTTGCGAAGTAAATTTTTCTAAAAGCTTTTACCTAAGGTATGATCACTTCCTGAGATTAAATCCGCCTGCTTTCAATAGTTTCATGATGTCATTCTTCAACCCTTTTGCAAGGTCAGCGCTATGACAGCCATGGATAACGTCATCCATGTACAGGCTATTCCGTAAAACAGAAGCTGCTTGAGTTTTGGTGTAGTATTTTTCTTCATCATCTGCTTCAGAGTCATCATTGCTAAGTATGGCGTGGCCTTCGTGCCATATGTGACTGTAGTGAGTTGGTACTCCTGCAATGGTTCTTCTGGGCCATCTCGCCATATTAGTTTGTGGTATTTTTGGTGTTCTTCATTCAGCCAAATTTGGCGAAACATTTTTTTTATATCAGCTGTGTATACAAACTGATATTGACGCCACTCGAAAATTAGTTTTTGGAGATCTTGTTGTAGATTCTCTGTAGGCCTTTTTGCATAAGATCATTAAGGCTCAACCCTGTCGAAGTTTTTGCCGAGGCATTAAATACAACCCTGATTTTTGTAGTTGTTGACTTCGAGCGCTCGACACAATGGTGCGGCATATAAAAGTCCGGTTTCTTGCTACCGGTAGCCGGTTTCATATGACCCAATGCTAGGAATTCTTGAATAAATAATTTATAATTTTTGTATTATTTTGTTTTGTGAATCGTCGTTCCAATTGTTTGAATTGCGCTTTTGCCTTTTGTTTCGATGTACCCAAGTCTTGCGCAATGTTTGACTTAGAGGAAGTTTCACTTCGTATCTTCCATCGTCGAGTCTTTTTGTTGTTGATTTATACAAATCGATGCGTGCTTGATCTTCTGACGTTAGTGTCTTTGACGTGAGTCTTGAGTAATGTCCTCGATCTCCCAAAACTGACGGATGTTTTGTATATTATTCATCAAAACATTGCACTGTAGAGTTGTTAGAGATGTTTGAGTATACTTCTGCTCCCAGAAGTATATCTACCGGCCGACTTTTATAGAATTCTGGATCTGCTAACTGTATATTTTCTAGGAATGACCATGACGGCTTGTCCAAGGTGTAGTTCGGTAAATTATTAATTAGAGTTTTCATTATGAGAGCTTCGGTATTAAGTGTGAAGGCGCTATTATTGGACTTGATTGTTAACTTGATCATGCCTTTACAATTGTTTTCTTTTATGCTGATCCCAGTTATGACCTCTTTACACTTACTTCTAGGTAGTGATAGAAGTTGAGCTGCAGCAGTGCTCGGAGTTTGTTTGTTCGATTGATATAGTTAGGCGTCTTTCGCTCTTGACCAACTTTCTTGAAATTAACAAATGTTACGGCCTACGGCTGCTCCAGCAAGGGTCAAATCCTCCGGGGCCCATTCAGCATAAGACTTCACGAGCAGACGCAGGTCGGGACTCAATATGGCCGCGTGGATTTTCCTATCACAATAAACTATATGGGAGCAAACTAGAAAGCAAAGGTACTTACCTGTATCAGGAGCAAACTTCGCTCCAAGGCTTGGGCAGGCCGTGAGTGTGTGTAATGGTAGATAGCGAGTCGTGTACAGTGAGGTGTGAAAGTGTGAGGCCTTGGCAAGCATAGGCGACCAGCAGCGGCCGAGTTCCAGGCTGCTCCAAAATGCTGCATCGCTCCAGATTGCTCCAGCGCCGGACCACTTCTTTCTTCACTGTCACTATTCAGTCTCTTAGCTTCATTGTACATTTAACTAACTCCAATTCGCCTAATTCCACACTCATCGCAGAATCGAACACGTGATATCCGACACGGCAAGGACAGTAGCACAAAATTCGACATTGAATGTCCCGGATTCACTTATCACAAATTATAAATTCGGCACCAGAATAACACGTCGCGCCAGAGTCAAAATACGCCTCGTTGACACGCAAATTAATGTAACTAGGCAACCCAAACACAAAAAGGCGACGACCCAATTATAACGATATCCTGTCAATTTACCGGGAGAAGCTCTCAAACTAGGAATGCGCGACTCGAATCCTAGACCGTATATCTCCTCGACGCGCGTACACTATTCCGCACTCTCTCACGAGTTAAATATCGCACGATTCACATATCTACGTGACGAGGAAGCATGTACTTCATCTAGCTATCTAGGTCCATGACGGGCCCGTGAATTTAGGGAAGAGGGCTTGACGGTCTCCCCGCATCGTGGCCGGCGGGGCACCGACGCTTCGCCCACGCGTCGAGCGACTGACAGCAAGCCACGCACGGCCGCCCCACCTCGGCGCTTATCTCACCTACATACCATCGGGTGAGGCGCCAGCTCGAACGCAATTGGGTGGCGTTCAAACATAACCAAATTTGGGCATAAACAACAAATATTTGATTAATGCCATCGATAACTTGTTGTTGATTTGCTAAAAGATTTTCTATGTTTGACATTACTTGGTGTTACTTGGTAAAGTAGTTGATACGTTAAACCTTAGTAAAAATTACTTACTGGTTTTGCTTGTTTTGATAAATACCTTGCTACGCTTGCTTAGTGTGCTTGGTGAATGTTTGCTTGGTTTGCTTCAAGATTGCTATGCTTATGGTATACTTGATATTCTTGGTCTTGTGCTTGGTATTGTTACTGGTTCTCAGTATATTTGCAGACTCTCAGTACACGTAGAGCGCCGTCTCAATTCGACTGGTGAGACCCGCTGGTGGGAGGCCAACCGAACCGATCGCACTGCACTTAAGATCCACAAAACGCTGATCAGTTTGCTCGAAGGACCATAAAGATGTAGGGTCTTGGTATACCACACACCCTTTACTTGATCTGATGATGTATGATTTAAACACAATCTTGAGAAAAAACAAAGATTTATTAAGATTTCACAATGTACGGAATTTGGTAAAATATAAGGTTGAGTCACGCGACTGTATTGGTAGGCAAACCCCAAAGCACTAAAAATGTAGAAAATTAATGAATAAGGTCAGTCACGCATACTGTTTAATTACTAAAATGTCGAAGCGGGAGAATGCACCGTACGCATGTCTTCGATTTTTTTTCTTATTCCTCAGACATGCCGGTTTCCTCACGATGTTATCCTTCACCGCCGAGCACAATCTAAATAAGCATTTAAAAATTTCATTGGTGCTGCCGGGGATCAAAGCCAGGCGAAATTTACAGCGAGCGCTTAGACCCAGAGCTACTTATACGACACAAATAAATACGGTTCAAAAAATATAATAAAAACTCTTACGTACTTAAAACTTAAACACTTGCTAGCTCGTGATGCCTATTGGACGAATATATAGCACCACATCGTGCAATGTAAGTGAAGATGCTTAAACGCGACATAACTAATAGTGATGCGCAAGCATAATAGGCAAGGCAGTATATCACTTATATACTTGTCACCTCTGCAGCTTATTAATCTTTGCACTTTTCTAAGTAATACAGAAAGTAGCCGCTAGACAGTGTTGACGTCGGCTAACATCTCTGCGGTCGCCATTTTGTCAAGGTCATTCAGTCTTCTTAAAGCCTTAAGTCTTAACCTTCTCTGCAAATTCGGGCGTATATTGCAAAATAATCCTGTATATATAAAGATAGCATCGCTTTCGTTTGTAGGGTGTGTGCTGACAGTACATGCTCGGTGAGCCGCCATTTCCGATTGTATTGTTTACCCGCACGAGTAGTAATGTGTGTGTTGCGTGGTGCAGGTGGAGGTAGCGGTGCAGCCGGTCGAGCGCTGTGCAAGGTGGCGGCGCTGGCGGGCGAGCCGCGCGCCGCCGACCTGCGCACCGCCGCGCGCCGCGCGCTCGCCGCGCTCTACGATTGCAACCCCGTGCCCGTAAGTGCACGCACACACACTGACACGCACACACTCTACACACGCTGTCAACACCCTTGTACACATTCCGTACACTGTACAGTGTACACACCTTATACAAAACACTGTTACACATGATGGCGGTCAATCATCCGCACACTATCATTCTATAATATTTATCACTACAGGCATCTAATTTTTTTTATTTTTGACTGTAGAGAACTGGAGATCCTTTTACTGGGAACAAGGCATTCCATCTTAGTCCTCCGGAATAACAACGCATTTGCATTTTGATTCTTAATCGAGGATTCTTATTAGATGTAAATTTCTTGCGTTGTAGAATCCACTTACCATCAGGTGAACTATGTGCTCGTTTGTCGCCCTTATCTTATAAAATAACATATTGTTTAAGCTTGACCTAAAATACCCAAACCTGCGACGGAAAGCATCGTCAAATGTCAAAAAAACGTCTGGTACTGCTATTGTGGCGGCGCTGTCGTCGCGCCACAAGCGTTAACACATCGAAGCCTAAATCGCACTAACAAAGTTCCGAAGTTAAAACAGTATATCGTCGCTTATATTACAACACCGCGAATATGCGTTTTTTCCGTTATTCACTTTTTAATATCATTGGATAGAGAAAAAAATCTCGCGTTTAGTGCACCAATCGTGTTTAAAAGAACTCGCCAATCAAAGGCTAGAATTAAAAATCTGTATCACCGCGAATGTTTGTCATTGGTTAGTTTGGCATAAACACCGCGAATGTACATCAGTCACCATAATTTTTTTTTGCGGCGAAGCGAAGGTTTCAGTAAGCAATCGTTTTTGTTTTAGTTATATTTGTTATATTATTCGACTTTTTGAAAGAAATAGCACTTTATGTGATTAAGAACATTGATAAATAGTTATTAAGCATTACGTTTCAATACATTTTCATCAATTTGTAATACTAAAACACCGTCAAAATTACACTCACTCGTTCGCAGTGTTATATTGCATATTTTTTTCATATTCGCGGTGTATATAGGTTCGACTACGGCAAAATAGAACATGAGCTGTGAATTTGACACATCTTCTACAGACGATGAGGAGATGGAGGAGTTGTGTAAACTAGCTAACATACAATATAAGATGCCCACACAGTGTCATAAAGTCACTGCTAAAGCAACTTTAACCATGGTTTCTGGACATAACAGTTTGCAGACTGTAAAAGAAAACGTTCAAAATAATGTAAAAATTTTAACACAGCAGCCAGAAAATAGCAAGCAAATATTAAAGGATGACACATTGGATACTGGTATAATCAATATGGATGGTATTGACATGATAGGTGATTTTAACGTGGTTGACCCTTCAAAGGATAACGGACTTGTTTTGAATAGGCAAAACAATATCGTTATTCTAGAAAAACCAACCCCTAGTGCCAGCAATATGAAACAAACACCGAAAATAATCATGCTAGAAACATGCTATTACCAACAGAAAATATATTTCACGGCAAAACCCAAAGTCAGAGAAAGAGACAAAATAAAGTGAATAAAAATTCAAAGAAGTGGCAAAGAGAATTAAATAAAAAATTGAGAGAAGAAGGAAAGTCATATTTAGGCTACAGGCGCGATAGGAAAGTTGACCAGTACAATCCAAATTTCAAAGTTCTACATGACACTCTGAAACCAGCTAAAGAGATGGGCCTCCGCTGTGAATCCGCCGTTTGCCAAAAATCTAAGCTCCTAGGATGTCATGACATCACTGAGCCAGAACGGCGAAGCATTTTTGAAAGTTTCTCGAAAACAATGAGCTGGGAACAGAGACGACAGTTTGTGTGTTCAAATGTTTCCGTAGCGCAATGATTTTTTTTTATAGGATATGGTGACAAACGAGCACACAGTCCACCTGATGGTAAGTGATTGCTGTGGCCCATAGACATCCACATTTATCATCGATTACAAATCAAAATGCAGATGCGTTGTCACCCATGAGGACTAAGATGGGATGCCTCTTTTCCAGTAAAAAGGGTCTCCGTATCTCTACACTCACCATACGAAACACAGCAGCATTAAGACTAGTAATAATAAGTTCCTTTAGCAAACACCGCCTTTATGCTAGAATGTGCCATATTTCGGAAGGCAACAGCGCCAATGTGATTTATTTATTTATTTAATAAGGCTATAACTGTTTTGTGCACTTTATTATTTCTATAATAACTAAAAAAGTGACTATAAAAAAGAACCTAACTTTTATTTTATTGTTGAGTAGTAAAGAAATAGTTTTTTGTCTTTCCTGTAAAGTTAGTAAATTGCATATTCGCGGTGTTGTAATATAAGCGACGATATATAGAATAGCTCCGAACTACCATTGGGAGCGTTGGCCGCTCCCCGGGTACAACACCTTGCCCGGCGGGAGATCTCCCCTTTTCCTTCCACCACCTATAGTGGTGACCAATCGACGTGTTATGAACACGCAACCAAATAACCTTTGGAAAATATAACTTCAAAACCTTCGTCATCGTTCTCAAATACCCCATTCATTCGCTCCCGAGCAGATATTGTCTGCAGTCTTCACATTCTGCAAGCCATCTAGCTTTACAAAGATTCATCGCAGCACTGGAATAATAATGATTCCTGTTCCTTCAAGCTACTGGTAGCGGAATTACAAGATAGACTACCCCAGGAGGGTACCAGTACCCCTGGAGAATCGCTCGCTGAGCATCCACGACCATGTTATTCCAATCCTGAGCGTGGGTGCTCAGGCTGCCCCGCGTATTCGGGGGGGGGGGGGGCAAAATTCCGCTCAAAAACATAACTGCTCGGGGCAAACTGAGCAACAATACCAAGGCGACCCCTGCCACGCTATCTGTGAATTTCTGCAACATCAGGGGACTTCACTCTAACCTAACCGCCGTCCACTACCATCTCGAGACGGCGAAGCCGGCCTTCCTCTTTTTAACCGAGACTCGGGTGTCCTCTCCGGCTGATATTTCGTATCTCTCCTTCCCGGGGTACAAATTGGAGCACTCCTTTGTTCCTCGGGCTGAAGTTTGCGTGTATGTCAGAGAGGACATCTGTTCTCGACGCCTCGGCAGTCTTGAAGGTTCGGACCTGTCCATCCTTTGGCTACGCGTAGACAGCGACGACCATCCGCGCGTCTACGGGTGCCTTTACAGGTCCCATAGCGGTAATGCCGAAACAGACCGACTCATCGACCACGTCCAAATGGCTACAGATTCCTTGCTACAACAGGTCCCATCCGCAGAGATCGTGATCCTTGGCGATTTTAACGCCCACCATGCCGAATGGCTCGGTTCACGTTTAACCGATCATACGGGGAGATCTGTTTATGACGTTACCTTGGCATATGGTCTGACACAACTGGTTACTTCGCCTACGCGGATTCCAGATGTGGAGGATCATACACCTTCCCTGTTGGACCTTCTGCTGACCTCTCATCCGGACGGATATCAGGTTTCCGTCGATGCCCCTCTCGGCTCTTCGGACCATTGTCTGATCCGGAGTGTGGTGCCACTCACGCTCCCTTCGCGGTTGCGTTCTGCAGGTTGCCGCCGTGTTTGGCATTACAGGTCGGCGGATTGGGACGGATCGCGGTCTTTCTTTGCATCCTACCCATGGGGGCGGGTTTGCTTCTCGCCGGATGATCCCAGCGCTGTTGCTGACTCTGTCACTGATGTGGTGCTACAGGGAATGGAACTATTTATTCCATCATCTGTGGTACCCTTGGGAGGCAGATCTCAGCCTTGATTTGGACGCTCCTGTAAGACTGCATTACGCAGTAAGCAGGAGTGTTATCAAGCCTGGGCTGCGGCTTCGGCGACTCGGGATGTAAACACCAGCACACTTAAAAAGAAGTATAACTTTGCCTCCAGGTCCTTCAAAAGAGTTATTGCCAAGGCAAAGTCAGAGCACATAGGCAGACTGGCGAGAAACTAGTTCGCCTTCCTTCGGGAACCCGTGCATTCAAGTCTCTCGCCAAGGCTGTCCAAGGGAATTTCTGTAAGCCATCACTACCATCTCTGCACAGGGAGGACGACTCACTGGCCCAAGACGCAAAAGACAAAGCTGACCTTTTAGGCTCCCTTTTTGCGTCCAACTCGACTCTTGATGACGGGGGGGAAAACACCGCCGACCATCCCGCGGTGTGAGTGCTCCATGCCGGATGTGCTATTCTCACAGCGCTCGGTTCGCAAAGCACTTCTCTCCCTGGACATCCAGAAGTCGAGTGGGCCTGACGGTATCCTCCCAATTGTACTGAGGACGTGTGCTCCGGATTTGGCACCGGTGCCAAATCCGGAGGCCAAATAGGACCGGTCCTAGCGCGTCTTTTCCGATACTCCTACTCCCAAGGCGTAGTCCCGAATTCATGGAAAACAGCTTTTGTCCACCCGATCCCTAAAAAAGGCGACCGCTCAGACCCGTCCAATTATAGGCCTATCGCGATCACCTCCTTGTTCTCCAAAATAATGGAATCCATTATTAACTGCCAGCTCATCCGGTACCTTGAGGATCACCACCTGATTAGTCACCGCCAATACGGTTTTCGACGGGGTCGATCAGCTGGTGATCTTCTGGTCTACCTAACCCATAGATGGGCGGAGGCAGTAGAGTCCAAGGGGGAGGCGTAGGCCGTTAGTCTGGTCATTGCGAAGGCCTTCGATCGGGTTTGGCACAAAGCGCTTCTTTCGAAGCTCCCTTCCTATGGGCTTCCCGAGAAATTGTGCAATTGGATCACCAGCTTCCTTGCAGATCGGAGCATCAAGGTCGTTGTAGACGGTGCATGTTCTGACTACAAGCCTATTAACGCTGGTGTTCCACAAGGCTGTGTGCTATCACCAATGCTGTTTCTTCTGCATATCAATGATATGTTGCTAACTGGTAACATTCATTGCTATGCGGATGACAGCACTGGTGATGCTCTATAGACCGGCCGTGCCAATATTTCTCGGGAAAACGTCACCGAGTACCGGAACAAACTTGTGTCTGAAGTCGAGTCTTTGCTGGAAAAAGTCTCGGATTGGGGGCGACTAAATCTAGTCCAGTTTAATCCTCAGAGGACACAAGTTTGCGCGTTTACCGCTAAAAAGAACCCCTTTATCGTATTTCCTCAGTTTCAAGGCACTCCCCTTCTTGCCTCAGCCAGTATCGGTATCCTCAGAGTCGACATATCGAGTGACGTGCAGTTTCGTGGCCACTTGGTAGAGAAGGCCAAATTGGCCTCTAAAAAGCTTGGCGTGCTCAGCAGAGCGGGACAGTATTTCATGCCGGCACACCGCCTGCAACTTTACAAGGCGCAGGTTCGGCCTCACATGGAATACTGTTCCCATCTCTGGGCAGGGGCTCCCCAGTGCCAGCTCCTTCCACTTGACCGCATCCAGCGCAGAGCGGCTCAAATCGTCGACGACCGAGCCCTTTCCGATCGGCTCGATTCATTGGCACTGCGAAGAGATGTTGCATCCCTTTGCATTTTCTTTCGCATCTACCATGGGGAGTGCTCTGAGGAATTGTTCGGATTAATCCCAGCCGCCAAATTTCAAGAACGCACATCGCGGCAGAACTCCCGATACCATCCACACCATCTGGATGATTGGCGGTCCACCACTGTGCAATTTAGAAGATGTTTTCTTCCTCGCACGACTTCCTTGTGGAATCGATTACCATCGGCGGTTTTTCCGGACCGATACGACTTAGGGACCTTCAAGAAAAGAGCGTACTTCTTTTTAAAAGGCCGGCAACGCATCTGCAATTCCCTCCCTGGTGTTGCAGTTGTTCATGGGCGGCGGTAGTCACTTACTATCAGGTGAGCCGCATGCTCGCTTGCCCCCTCTCCTATAAAAAAAAAAAGCTACTCTGCGCTACAGTGTTCGGCACGGCTCTGAACCTCACTGCTCGCCTTTGCTTCACGGCACTCTCGCAGATTACTTGCCTTCTTCTCGACTCACCGCAGACTACAAGGCAATCCTTGGCACTTGCTCCGGCTCGTCGTTCTCACCGGCATCACTTGCAAGTGCGTAGTATGGGATGCATTACACAGGCATAATGTTCTCAACGGCGTCACTTGCCCTTACGCACGCAGCGTGTATTCCCCACCGACATTAAGGACCCGCCGGCAATCGGACTGCACTATCGACCTCCGGTCTGAGCAGGGGGGTGATGTGGCGGCGCTATCGTCGCGCCACAAGCGTAACACATCGAAGCCTAAATCGCACTAATAAAGTTCCGAAGTTAAAGCAGCATAATATATAGAATAGCTCCGAATAACAAAAATTGGAGCGTTGGCCGCTCCTCGGGCAAAACACCTTGCCCGGCGGGAGATCTCCCCTTTTTCCTTCCACCGCCACACTATCATTAATCTTATATAAACATTTACGGGCTGTCTCGGACCGACGAAGCAGAAAAAGAAAGAAATCGTAATTCATTAGCATTTATTGTTTCAGTTTACAGCGCTAATGAGCGAGCTGCCAGCGGAAACGCAAGCCATCGTGAACAGTGTGGTCCAGCAGCATGTCCGGAGAACCTCTAGCAGTGAGTATCATACATCAATGCCTGTTTAACCATACTTAGATTTTCGACCGCATGGTCTAAACAACAGAAGAAATTGGATGTTTGTCACTCATAGTCAAATTAATACCTTTTAAATGTTGTCAAGATGAAATTAAGTAATTGACACTAGTACACAATATGATAATTATACTTTTAATATCTGTCAAAACAATCAATGGGAATGTATAAAACTAGTTGCAGACAGACTTTTTGCATTAGGTTATGGTCATTCATTGTTGTAGTACCTTTTAAATTTTATCTTTAAGCAAGTTTGTAACTGAATCTCCTATTCATGTTTTCTCTTGCTAGATTATCACATAGAGAAGCTGGTTATATTTGTTTTTTTTTTTTTTTTGTATTAATTCTCTTTACTTTAATTTAAAAAACTGCGTAACGTCATAATATTCCTTATAATCAAGTTATCACATTACAAAATTAGGACTAATTATGTCACACACACCATGTCACGTGATATGTCACTGTCATTCATTTGTATAGTTTTTATTAATGTTAATTATTGAAGCAAGTAAACTTCGCTAAGCCTGTAGGCCATATGGCTAATTAGCACAATTATTAAATTATTCGTGTGGTTCGTAATAGCAAGAAAGTCCTAATTATAATAATGTCATCATCATTTAGTCATTTTTAGTCCACAGCTAAACACAGGCCTCTCCCAAGGAATGCCATAAAGAACAGTCCTGAGTTACCCGCATCCGTTGACTTCCTGTATCTCTTACCAGGTCCTAGGGAGCTCCCTCCAGATGAAGTAACATTTAGAGAGGGTCCCCTACACTCCTCGCTTACCGGTTGTCGGTTCTTCGAGTTATATGGACGGCCCATTGCCACTTCAGCTTATTGATCAGTCCGTTGGTTACTCTGGTTCTATTGCGGATATTCTTATTTCTATCTTTTTTTATAGGAGAGGGGGCATACGATCATGCGGCTCACCTGATGGTAAGTGACTACCGCCGCCCATGAACAACTGCAACACCAGGGGAACCAGGGGAATTGCAGATGCGTTGCCGGCCTTTTAAAAAGGAGTAGGCTCTTTTCTTGAAGGTCCCTAAGTCGTATCGGTCCGGAAAAATCGCTGGTGGTAAACTATTCCACAAGGAAGTTGAGCGAGGAAGAAAACATCTTCCAAATCGCACAGTGGTGGACCGCCAATCATCCAGATGGTGTGGATGGTATTGGGAGTTCTGCCGCGATGTGCGTTCGTGAAATTTGGCGGCTGGGATTAATCCGAACAATTCCTCAGAGCACTCCCCATGGTAAATGCGAAAGAAAATGCAAAGAGATGCAACATCTCTTCGCAGTGCCAATGAGTCGAGCCGATCGGAAAGGACTCGGTCGTTGACGATTCGAGCCGCTCTGCGCTGGATGCGGTCAAGTGGAAGGAGCTGACACCGAGGAGCCCCAGCCCAGTAATGGGAACAGTATTCCATGTGAGGCCGAACCTGTGCCTTGTAAAGTTGCAGGCGTTGAGCTGGCATGAAATACTGTCCCGCTCTGTTGAGCACGCCAAGCTTTTTAGAGGCCAATTTGGCCTTCTCTTCCAAGTGACCACGAAACTGCACGTCACTCGATATGTCGACTCCGAGGATTCCGATACTGGCTGAGGAGGGGAGTGCCTTGAAACTGAGGAGATACGACAAAGGGGTTCTTTTTAGCGGTAAACGCGCAAAATTGTGTCTTCTGAGGATTAAACTGGACTAGATTTAGTCGCCCCCAATCCGAGACTTTGTCCAGCAAAGACTCGACTTCAGACACAAGTTTGTTCCGGTACTCGGTGACGTTTTCCCGAGAAATATTGGCACGGCTGGTGTATAGAGCATCACCAGTGCTGTCATCCGCATAGCAATGAATGCTACCGGCTTGCAATATATCATTGATATGGAGAAGAAACAGCGTTGGTGATAGCACGCAGCCTTGTGAAACACCAGCGTTAATAGGCTTGTAGTCGTAGCATGCACCGTCTGCAACGACCTTGATGCTCCGATCTGCAAGAAAGCTGGTGATCCAATTGCATAATTTCTCGGGAGGCCCATAGGAAGGGAGCTTCGAAAGAAGCGCTTTGTGCCAAACCCGATAGAAGGCCTTCGCAATGTCCAAGCTAACGGCCAATGCCTCCCCCTTGGCCTCTATATCCTCCGCCCATCTATGAGTTAAGTAGACCAGACCACCAGCTGATCGACCCAGACGAAAACCGTAGTGGCGGTCTCTAATCAGCTGGTGATCCTCAAGGTACCGCATGAGGTGGCAGTTTATAACGGATTCCATTATTTTGGAGAACAAGGGGGTGATGGCGATAGGCCTGTAGTTGGACGGGTCTGAGCGGTCGCCTTTTTTAGGGATCGGGTGGACAAAAGCTGTCTTCCATGATTTCGGGACTACGCCTAGGGAGTAGGAGTACCGGAAAAGACGTGTTAGAACCGGTGCCAACTCCGGAGCACACGTTCTCAGCACAATTGGGGGGATTACGTCAGGCCCGCTCGACTTGTGGATGCCAAGGGAGAGGAGTGCTCTGCGAACCGAGCGCTGTGAGAACCGCACATCCGGCATGGAGCACTCACACCGCAGGGTGGTCGGCGGTCGAGTTGGACGCAAAAAGGGAGCCTTAAATCCCTATGCAGAGATGGTAGTGATGGCTTACAGAAATTCCCTTGGAGAGCCTTGGCGAGAGACCAGAATGCACGGATTCCCGAAGGAAGGCTAACTAATTTCTCGCCAATTCTGCCTATGTGCTCTGACTTTGCCTTGGCAATAACTCTTTTGAGGGACCTGGAAGCGAAGTTATACTTCTTTTTAAGTATGCTGGTGTTTACATCCCGAGTCGCCGAAGCAGCAGCCCAGGCTTGATAACACTCCTGCTTACTGCGTAAAGCAGTCTTACAGGAGCGACCAAACCAAGGCTGAGATCTACCTCCGACGATTACCACAGATTATGGAATAAATAGTTCCATTCCCTGTAGCACCACATCAGTGACAGAGTCAGCAATAGCGAGAAGCAAACCCGCAAAAGCAAAAGTTTCATCCGGCGAGAAGCAAACCCGAAGCAAAAAAAGGGTAGGAAGCAAAGAAAGACCGCATTCCGTCCCAATCCTGTAATGCCAAACACGGCGGCAACCTGCAGAACGCAATCGCGAGGGGAGCGTAAGTGGCACCACACTCCAGATCAGACAATGGTCCGAAGAGCCAAGAGGGGCATCGACGGAAACCTGATATCCGTCCGGATGAGAGGTCAGCAGAAGGTCCATCAGGGAAGGTGTATGATCCTCCACATCTGGAATCCGCGTAGGCGATGTAACCAGTTGTGTCAGACCATATGCCAAGGCAAAGTCATAAACAGATCTCCCCGCATGATCGGTTAAACGTGAACCGAGCCATTCGGCGTGGTGGGCGTTAAAATCGCCAAGGATCACGATCTACCGCCTTGAGATCTTGTTAATCTCTCTGAATTACAATTTATACTACTGCTTTATAACTTGTTATTATTGATTTAAAAAACTATTGTATCATAGTGTGAATCATCAGTTTTAATTTAATAACAATTTAGTTGAAAACAAAGAGATTTAAATATATAGGTATACTATAGAGCGGACATAGGAAACTTTTGCATACAAAAATTTTGAGCTCGCGCGTATGGACATAGCAAAACTACGCTGAATATTTATTATTAAAACATTTCAGCTATTCTCTAGTAGGTGACGCTAATAAATGTCAAGTTTAAACCCGTTTTAGAAATGTTATCGTTTCGACATCAAAGTATCGATAATGTTGTTCCTAAGTTTGTAATGATTTACGATATAATAATAAGGAATATGCATGATATTTTATTGTATAAATCTATTCATTATGACTCCCATCACACGTTATTCAAGTCATGAATAACGTCATGAATGCAATGAAATTTCATGAAATAAAATATTGTATTTCCAATAACTAAGAATCAATTCAAACAGCAGTCACATTGGTGGCATCTTGGATGATGTCACTAGGTGCATTAGACACTATAATAATAGCATATGATTGTTCGTTCGGCGTCGAAGGCACATCCCGAAACGTCAAACTAATAAGAGAGTGCGTCCATGTTTTTCTTTTACAAAAATACACTTTAAATCTAACATATTTTAGGAAAGCATTGAACTTAAAAATCGTTACACGATAAATTATTACACAAATTCACAAGTTTGCGCGTTTACCGCTAAAAAGAACACCTTTGCCGTATCTCCTCAATTTCAGAGCACTTCCCTTGTTACCGCAGCCAGTAGCGAAATCTTCGGCGTCTACATATAGAATGACCTGCAGTAGCATGGTCACTTAGAAGAGAAAGCTAAATTGGCTTCTAAAAAGCTTAGCGTACTCAGTAGAGCGGGACAGTGTTTCATGCCTGCACATCGCTTGCAACTTTACAAGCGCAGATTCGGCTTCACATGGAATACTATTCTCATTTCTGGGACTTGGTTCCCTAGTGCGAGCTCCTTCCACTTAACCTCGTACAGAACAGAGCGGCTCGAATCGTCGCTGACCGAGTTCTCTTTAATTGGCTCGATTCACTGGCGCTGCGTAGAGATGTTGCATCCCTTAACATTTTCTATCGTATTTACCATGGGGAGTGCTCTGAGGAATTGTTTGATTTAATTCCAGCCACCAAATTTCACCAATAAAAATCGCGACATAACTTAAGTTACCATCCACATCATTTGGATGCTTGGCGGTCCACTACTGTGCGATTTATTAAGAGTTTTCTTAGGAATTGTTTACCATCGTCGATTTTTATGGACCGATACGACTTAGGGACCTTCTAGAAATGAACTTACTCCTTTTTAAAAGGCCGGCAACGCATCTGCAATTCTCCTGGTGTTGTAGAATTATACAGGTTGGCCCATAAGTCCCTTGAAATGTAAAAAATAATTTAAAAAAAACTAATGACTTTATGAAAAAGGTTTTTATTTTGTCATAATCATTATAAAATGGGAATTATTTTTTGAAAATTACATCATCTAAATGTAATCCGTTACGATCGCGGCACTCCTGTAAGCGACGTTTAAAATTATCCATCACTGCGTGGCAAGTAAGCTCTGTAATGTTTGCCATTTCTCTTTGGATATTTTCTTTCAGGACGTCAATTGTCCGCGGGTTGGTTTCGTACACTTTAGTCTTAAGATAACCCCATAAGAAAAAGTCCATTGGGGTCAGATCTGGACTACGTGGTGGCCAAGGAATATCTCCTCTTCGAGAGATCACTTTATTAGGGAAAAGTTGACGGACGACCGGCATAGCGACGTTAGAGGTATGGGCAGTTGCTCCATCTTGTTGAAACCAGGTCCGCGTATTGAAGCCTGGAAAATTCTGCAACTCTGGTGTAAAAAAGTCCTGGATCATAGCTACATATCGTTGTGAAGTAACAGTAAGCGCGCGGCCTCTGCCGTCCTCAAAAAAGTAAGGGCCTATAATGCCATGCGCTGACATAGCCGCCCAAACTGTCACTTTAGGGCTATGTAAGGGCTTTTGATGTTTGCGATTTGGATTTTCGCAACTCCAGTAGCGACAATTTTGCTTATTGACATGGCCGTTGATGTGAAAGTGAGCCTCATCAGAGAATAACACGTTATTAAACGAAGTAAAGCGGTTCAACATTTCATTTGCGAAATTTAGTCTGTGGATAGTGTCAGTATCTTTTAATTCCTGTACTAACTGAATCTTGTACGGGTGAAGATGTAAATCTTTCTTTAAAATTCGCTGTAACGATGTTCTGGGTAAGTTTAATGCACTGGAACGCTTACGAGTAGACTGGGTAGGATTTTCACGAATTGAGTGTTTCACTACATCGATGTTTTCTTCCGTCCGTGATGTCCTTGGTCGACCTGACCGTTGTTTATCCAACGTCGAACCACTCTCTTCGAACTTAATAACCCAGTTCTTAATCGTTTGAACACTTGGAATGTCTTTAAAGTTGCGTAAATTCTGATATTCTCGAAATTTACGCCGCGCAATGGTAGCCGAATCATTGTTTCGATAAAACTCGCGCACACAAAATGCACGGTCCGCACCGGTGAAACGCTCCATGGCGACTGAATTCCCAGAAACCGTCGGTACTCCCCCCGCACCGCGCGTGCCACTCATGCGCGCCTTTTGTATTTTATTCGAAATTTACATTTCTAACGACATGGGCCACCTGGTATTAACATTTTAAAAAGAAGGCTATCTTGTTGACTGGTTATACTGGTTGTCCTGGCTGACATAAACGTTTCACGTTAAAATCAACTGCCGTGTGATCCGACACAGGCCCACCCGATTTCTTTATTGGTATGGATACAGTATAGTTTACTGTTTCAACTCCTTAAATATTGTAAATGATTAAATTTTGCATCCTGTATAATATTTTTATCGATAGCACCAATCGATACACGTTGTCAATCACTAACTCATTTGGTGAAGTTAATAGACAACAGAGGGCGCTTAATATAATAATGATAAATGTTCTAAAAAAATCTACCGGAAATAATAAAATTTAAAAATTATGGGGTAAATATACATTATACTTGCGATAATAAACCGAAATCACTACTACTCAGTTTTTGCTACATATCGGGATAATATTATATAATACCTGTGGAAGTCCCGATATGTAGCAATTGATTGTGCATTGTAAGAGGGTATTACTTGTGTAATACCCTCTTACAATGCACAATCGGCCATATTTTCTTTAAAAATCGTCTTGAGCTTTGACGATGTCACTAAGACTAAATGACACAAATCCGAAATATATCCTATAGGACATAAGTAAGAGGTGACCATTTTGTTGCTAATGTGCGGTCTATTACTACTACTTAAATGTCTGGTAGAAAAACATACAAATAATATGTTTATTTGACTACAAGAACTATAATGTTATTATCATAAAATTCCTTTTGGAAGTTTCATTTTGACGATTAAAATATTATATATATAATGTTACGGCCTACGGCAGCTCCCATAAAGGTTCAATCCTTCGGGGCCCATCAGCGGAGTTTCAACGAACAGACGTAGGTCGGGCCTCCTAAGGCCAAAGTGGAAAATCTCTAATTACAATAAACAATAAGGGGGAGCGTTCTATACTACTGCCATTCAACAGGGAGAATATTAAACGGAGCTTACTTACCTATATGCAAGGCGACTGGTCCCTCAGGATTCGGTCAGGTCGCATGTGGTTGTGTGGTGCAAGGGAAATAAGGTGCTGTGATGTGTATCTGGGTGTGACTGGTGGTGATTGACCTTATTAGACCTTTGCCGTCGGCAGCAGCCCGGACGTCAGCACCGCTCCAAATTGAGGTAATCTTCCGCGGCGCCGTCCACAGCCACTTTCTTCGTTCGTCACGATGACAGTCCATTAACTCTATCGTACGATTAACTAACTTACAGAAGCCACTAACTCTCGTTTATTATAAAGCTTAACACATAAAACGAACACGGAGTGTCCGGATCAAAGGTCACTACCGTTTCGCGTGGCAACAGTTATTTCTAGAATATCAAAGGCCGCACTAGCTAATATTGTCGAATGCACTTATACAGATTCTGAGTCGGACCCAATAAGTCCCGGGAAAGGTTATCCAACAAGGAATGCGCGTTACAAATCCTAGACAGTATATTTACTAGACGCCTAAACTATTCCGCGTTTCCAGCACAAAAATTGACAGCGTGCTGATGTTAGCACAGCTGGCAGACGACTGCTTTGCGCTCTCGACACACCCAAGCTAGCCCGAACGTCAAACCGGTATCGCCGAGCCGCGCGCCCTCTGACGTCAATCCCGAAATCAGCGTTCGGGCGTAAACAATATATATATATATATATATATATATATATATATATATATATATGTTACGGCCTACGGCTGCTCTCTTAAAGGATCAGACCTTCAGGGGCCCATGAGCTGAAGACCTCTCGAGCAGACGTAGGTCGGGCCTCCTAAGGCCACGTGGAATCTCTCTAATTACACTAAAATATATGGGGGAGCGTTATACTACGGCCAGTCGACCGGAAGGAATTTGGCGGAGTTCACTTACCTCGATCCAAGACGACTGGTCCCTCCGGAGTCGGTCAGGTCGCATGTAGTTGTGTAGTGCAAGGGAAAGAATGGTGATGTGGTGTGTATCTGGGTGTGACTGATGGTGATTAAACCTGGACCTTAGCCGTCGGCAGCAGCCCGAGCGTCGACACCGCTCCAATTTGAGGGGGCCTTTCGAGGTTATCCACAGTCACTTTCTTGGTTCACCACGATGACAGTCACTTAACTCTATCGTACGATTAACTAGCTTACAGAAGCCACTAACTATCGCGGGGTATAAGGTTACCGCACAAAACACGCCCGGAGTTTCTGGGTCAAAGGTCACTACCGTTTCGCGTGGCAACAGTTAGTTCTAAATACCGAGGCCGCACTTAATTATTCCGAGTTCCCTAACAGAACGGACCGCGTGCTCACGTCAGCACCGATTATGGACTATTGACGCGCTTGTGACCCGCGCGCCACTGCCACGCTCGGAAGAACTTCAGACCGGAATCGCGCCGAGCCGAGTGACATCTGTTGTCGATTCCGACAACAGAGTTTTGCGCGAACTATATATATATATATATATATATATATATATATATATATAGATATATAGTCATTGACTTTGGGCAGGCTTACAATAGTTGATGTATCTTCCCTCTTCACTCCTTTATCAGCTCGTAAAAGTCCACTGCTGGAGATGGGCCTTTCATAGTGGGAGGTGGGGGTGAGGGGGTTATTTAATTAGGGATGATTGTGTAAGCAGTGTATGTGTCCACAGCCGGCAGCGACAGCCCGCTGCGCAGCGTGAGCGGCAACAGCGCGGCGGGCGGCGCGGCGGGCGGCGAGGACGTGTACTCGCGCATCCGCAAGACCACCTCCGAGATACACTCCTACACCGCGCAGCACGCCAACGGTGAGCGCACGATACCATACATACATACACATACACCACCACCGAGATTCACTCCTACACTGTGCAGCACACCAACGGCGAGCCCAAGATACCATACACTGTCGATACGCCACTAGCGCAGTTGCTGTGTATTTCTTACACAAGAAGGGTGGCAAACGAGCACACGGTCCATCTGATAGCAAGCGGATGCTATAGTCGTTAGACATCTACATATAACCTCGATTAAGAATTAAAATGCAGATGCATTGTCACCCCAAAGGAATAGAATGCCCTTGCACCGATACCAGTAAAAAGGAATTACTTTTATAAAATACACTAATATAAACGTTCAGATTTAATAATATCAATGTTCTAAAATATAATGCAATACCAACGATACGGTAAATAGTTGCTAATGGGAATCCACAACTTTTTCTGCCACCAAAGCGGCAAGACTTAAGAATGATGTTGATGTAAGATGTAATATTTAACAGATTTCATGTAAAGGAAATTAAATAGCTAAGAAAATGTAAAGGTAATGTTTTATTTTTGGAATCTATGCATATCTATACAAATAAATAAAATTGAAGTGTCTGTTTGTAATATCAAAATAATAGCTTTATACCAAATACATATGAAAGTATATACGGTACTTATAACAAAAACACAATTTCTAAAGTTTTTGTCTGTCTGTCTGTCTGCCTGTCTGTCTGTTTGTTCCGGCTAATCTGCGAAACGGCTGGACCGATTTCGACGGGACTTACAGATAACTGATGTTATAAGGAGTAACTTAGGCTACTTATATTTTAAAAAAATAATTAGGCTCCCGATCAACATAATTAAAACCCTAAATTAACGCGGGCGAAGTTGCGGGGAACAGCTAGAATTAAATATATTATATACTAGCTGTTCCCCGCGACCTTCGCCCGCTTGTAATTTAGGGTTTTAATTATATTGCTCAGAACCCTAATTCTCTTTCTCAAACTTAAGTAGAAGTGTTCCTTAGAACATCAGCTATTTGCCAGTGAAAGTCCCGTCGAAATATCGGCCCAGCCGTTTCGGAGATTAGCCGGAACAAACAGACAGACAAAAATTTTAAAAATTGTGTTTTTGTTTTAATATTGAAGTGTGTACAAACAACCACTTCAATTTTATTTATTTGTATAGATTAAATACATTAACATGAATAAATCAAACTGAATATTCCTAAAAATTAAAAGAATAAAAAAGAAAATTAAAAATTTGCAAAATCAATTAAAGAGCAACTATTGAGATATTGTTTGAGATGTTTGAAACGCACTTAACAAATACTTCACCTTAGTCGCAACTAGCAACATCTGGTGAGCGGAAAACTAGTAGCCCTCATTGTGTACAAGTAATAAATCTTTTGGTATTTTTTTTTTTAAGAAATAGCTACAATTTATTTTGTTGTACTTCCAATTCCATTTTGAACACTATTCTCGATAATACGCAAGTAAAATGGGTTTGTGAACAGCTATGGTGACATACGTAGTGTGAAAAGTTTAAATATATATTGTTCTTTTTAAAATAATAATAATATATAATAATTTAATATGTTTTTATGTACTTCTACAGCGGAATGCGGTAACCACATGTCGAGCAAGGACTCTGGCATCAGTCAGATGTCCGACGCGACGCTGTCCAACAAAGCACACAACGGCGTTCCCAACGGACACTACAATGCGTAAGTAGTCCTGGTGTTTATTGGATAGAGTGACGACTTGGTGAGAGTCAGTGCGCTTTACCATCTTGGGCTGGCTTTCCATCAGGTGGATACTATCCCTCAACTGTCTTAGAATAGTAAAAAAAAACCTGGAAAACCTAGTTACCTTCCTAATCTTGCATAACATATAGAAAGTTAAAATGGGAGTACTTACATCCCTAAAATGTCTATTTGGGTGTAACAACATTCAATTTGTCGTCAGCGAGGTGATAGCCCGCGCGGCGTCGGCAGATAGTTCTGAAGAGACGGGCAGCACCAAGGAATCTTCGCCAGTTCCCGGCCACGGCCGGCTGGATTTCCAGCATCCACATGGGTATGTACTAATAGTCGTGCTAAAACCACACTTAAATTTACCGTAGCCAATATTTATTTTTATTAAGGCATTTATATTAAGTCAAGACGTTTTGGACACTGCAGTACCCATGGTCATGGGGGAACCTCGGCCCCCTCCTCTCCATGTAGTATTTTCGTAAACAAGCAATTCGTTTTTTAGATTAGTTAAAGTTCTTTATGAATAAAATCTTTATGTTAAATATAATCCTAATGTTTCTATTGAAGCCTATTAAGCGTTATCTTAATTTATGGGTAGCGCTTGGTCTACATTTATGAACTAAAAAAACGGTTCCGTGGCGCAGTGGTTTAGCAATGAGTTAGCCGCGGATTAGAATCCCGCACGGAACAAGTATTTGTGTAGCCTACAAATAATTGTTCTGGGTCTGGATGTTTGTCCCTGTCAAATCTATGTATGTAAACTGCCCCCGCGATATAGGAGAAAATCCTAGTGTGGAGGTAACGCTTAAATAAAACAAACGTGGTAGTTACGTGGTAGAGCAATGCTGCAGCTATATTAGCAGTATAGTTGTAGCACGAATGAGTCGGCGCGACCGGGGAAGGACCACGCTCTCACAGAATACCAGCGTCAAATAGCAACTTAACACTGCTGTGTTTCGTATGGTGAGTGTAGAGAACCGGAGACCCTTTTTACTGGAAAAGAGGCATTCCATCTTAGTCCTCACGGGTGACAACGCATCTGCATTTTGATTCGCAAACGAGGATAGATGTAGATGTCTATGGGCCACAGCAACCACTTACCATCAGGTGGACTGTGTGCTATCCTATAAAAAAAAAATAAAAAAAATTTAATAGAAAATATAAGCGCCTTCATAAGAATCATTACTGCCTATTATTTAATAAGCGGCTAGTGTTTAAATTTAATCTTTGAATAGTTATTACATGTTAACGGATATAAAGCTGTGAAATTAAACCGCGCTAGTAATGTTAAATGACGTTCTTTTTAACGCATTTTATAAATGCCGGTTGATAACTGGACTGTTTTTTTTTTTTTGTAAATAATATCTCCAAAATATTTTATACTATGATGTTGATAGTGGTCGGTCATAATCATTTCTTTTTAAATTCGTTCAATTATTTAAGTATCATTTGTTTTTTTTTTTCAGGGAATATAATTCGAATAATTTGGGCCGGGATAAGATCAAGCCTTACGAAACCGACGAGAATGGATACATTATTACAAAATGTAAGTAATTTCAAATAAATATTGTTGTGTGCTGTATCATATAAATTTTATTTTTGAGAAGCTAAACTAAATAAATCTATTGTGTTCTAGACTTACTCATCTTCCATATAAAGTCTCAATCTCAAGGCGGTCGAGAATTAAGTTGTTAAGCCCCGCCCACTTAACTATTTTCCATCTACCAATAAATAGTAAAACTACTCGCAACTTTCCATATCGATGTTGCAATGTAGTCTAGCTACCTTGAGGATAGATGGCAGCCTGTTCACAAAATTATTATAAAAACTAAAAATAATATTTTGGCGATAAAAAATTCTTTAGGACTAAATGCAAAAGAAATTTCAGCACCTTCGTATGATTATTATACCAATACTGAGCTCTACACAATTTTTATATTTTTAGTTCCCATGACAAAATTTCGCCATCTAGTGTCGAATATATTTAGTTATATTTGAAAGCCGACGCAAAGATTTTTCTAGAACTATTTTAATAAATTAGGTATAAAATTACTTACAAATGAAATGTGATGCCATCCATAGCATCAGAGTATCTATCTAAGTATTTTTACACGATAAAACACAACACTTCATCATTTTCTTCTTAATACTACGAAAATATACCGATTTGCGATTTTCGACACATAAGCGCACCGGACGAATGCTGACAGTACTAAGTAAAGCCACGCTCACTCTTATTACGTCAGGACCTAGTTAGAATCACAGTGCACAGTTGCTTAGGCCGTCTCGTCTTTGTAATTGCTCCGTGCCCTTAACCGACGAGCATGTATGTATAGATTTATGGATTTAAAGGAGGCGAAAGAGGTGTGTCAAGATCGTGCCAAATGGAAGTCCGTAGTCTCTACAAAATGGTTCTACCGCCATCTATTTGAAGTCCCAAGATCATCACAGAATTTCTATAATGTATCACCTACCAGATAAGGTTGGAGGATAGATTCTTCATAGCGCCATTGTGCTACGTCTTATAGTCGGTAGTCCTAATAGCAATTGACAAATGATCTAACATTATTATATTCGAAAATTTTAAAATCTTTCCTAAAAATTTAAAGCTTTCCCAGATGCAGCAATTGTGATAAAATCATTTTTTTCTTTGGTAATGGACTCGTATGGTTGTACTTTTGCCATTATCGTTTACGTGCCTTTTACTACACATATACTTCTACGGTCTACAAATAATTGTTCCGGGTCCGGATGTTTGTCCTTAAAGCAGAACATTAATATTTTATACAATTAGTATGAAAACATTTAGAAACAGTATGGCAGCGACATTCTCAGGGTTTATTATCAATGTACTCTTTAGTAGTTAAATAACCGTTACTAATTAATTCTTGCCTAATAGAGAAGAATTTTTAAAGCTTTTGTAGAGACAGTAACAATAAAACCGTAAAAAGCTGCATCTGGGAAAGCTTTTAATTTTTAGGAAAGATTTTAAAATTTTCGAATATAATAATGTTAGATCATTTGTCGATTGCTATTAGGACTACCGACTATAAGACGTGGCACAATGGCGCTATGAAGAATCTATCCTCCAACCTTATCTGGTAGGTGATACATTATAGAAATTCTGTGTGATCTTGCAATTCTTGCTGATTCTTCCCAGGATAGAGTTCTTAATCGGTGGTAAAGTTTAAATGACCTTTAATAAGTGTTCTTGTAATATATATTGGATTATAATGTATATATTGTATTGTATTGTGCATATTATGTACAGCGGGACTTCGCGAGCCCGAAGTGCTGGAGGCGCTGTGTCAGCTGGAGGCGAACGCTGCGCCCGAGCAGTGCGAGCGCCTGCTGCTGGCCACGCACGAGCTGCTCAAGTACGGCGACTGCAGGAAGCCCTGCGAGTACTTCAAGTGAGTGCTCCTCACATATATTGCCACGCTGCCGCTATATTATATAGTTTTAGCACGAATAGTTCGGCTCGACTTAAAAATTTAAAAATGATTGTCATACAAATAACCCCGCAGTTCAAAAAAAGATATTTCGATATTACAGACAGACACTTCAATTTTATTTATATGTGGGGTACATTAGCTTATATATATCTTACATTAGCTTCTTTTGATATATAACAACAGTGCACTTAATATTATATTTATCTAAACCGTAACAAATATGTACTTCTTTGGGACAGGAATATAGTGCGAGTGGCGCTGGCGACGCTGTCGATTGAGGAGAACACTGGAGACAAGGAGAACTCCGAAAACGCGACCAACGTGCAACCGTCTTCAGGTTTGATTTACTATAAGGATTTATCAACTTATCTTATACTTATGTGAATAGTTTGTATTTTTAATAATCATCATCATCATGATTAATATTCGTCATCATTAGTTATGTATTTATTGTTAAACGTGCTTATTACGAAAAGTAATAGATTTGTAAATTGTATTTTTCAAAATATTAGTCCCAATGAGGTGTCGGATTTATCGTCCACAAGTCTCTCGTTAACAACGTTGTAAAGATTGGGAGTGTGTCGACGAGGGTTGCGTACCTTATACTTAGAGGTTTACGCACCAACCTCGGCACACACCGATGAGTAGGTGGAGGAAATGTATGAGGATATCTCTAGAGCCATGCATTCCTCCAAAACCCAATATACGGTAATAATGGGAGACTTCAATGCAAAACTAGGCACAGGAGATAATGATGAGCTGAAAGTAGGGAAATTTGGAATAGGGTAACGGAACCCAAGGGGCCAGCAGCTGGCCGACGTCATGGAGAAAGAGGGATTCTTTATGATAAACTCTTTCTTCCAGAAGTGACCCACAGAAAGTGGACCTGGAAAAATGAGATTGACTTCATTATGACGATTAGATGGCAACTGTTCAGTGATTTCTCAGTAATCGCGAGGGTGAAAACTGGAAGCGAAAGGTTAGAGGTACACTGAACCTAAACGTTAAGTTGCTAAGGTCTCTTCTAATGAAGTCAACGCTCCGGGGACCTCGTGCTCTGATCCAAAGTCCCGAAACCTTTCAGCTCGAGTTACACAACCGTTTTCAGTGCCTAGAACAGTGAACGATATGAATGACAAGCTCGTGGAAACTGTCCATGCGCTCGGAGCTTACTTTTGTAAGACCCGCCGCAGAAGAACATAAAAACTCTCCGATCATTATCTTAATCTCATGGCTGTTAGATGGGAAATTAAGCTGCAGTCTTCAACAGATTTGACAGTGTACGGGCAACAGACTGATCTCTAAGTGCATGCGGTGGGACTTACGCAACTTAAATACAGCTCGTATTGAAGAAGCGATCGAGCGGGGGGCCATGGCTCCAAAGTCTTTGTCAAAGATGTCTGCCAGAAAGAGCCAACTATCGAAGCTGAAGACTGAGTGTGGCAGTATCGTTTCCGGGACATTGAGATTTTGAGTGAGATTGAGAGGTTCTATGGGCAGCTGTACACATCATTGTTGGAGCCACACGCAAGTGTGAGCAACGACCCAAGAGCAAGTCTTATCCGGCACTATTCCGATGATATTCCGGACGTTAGTCTGAGCAAGATTGGAATGTTTCTCCAGCACCTTAAAAACGGTATGTCCCCGGGCGAGGACAGAATTACAGCGGAGCTTCTTTCTGAAGAGTCGAAAACCTGTACTTAAAATTTTTGAGAAGCTCTTTAATTCCGTCCTCCATGGTGGAACTACGCCGGAGGCGTGGAGCAGAAGTGCGGTGGTCTTGCTCTTCAAGAAAGGCGACAAAGCTCTCTTGAAGAACTACAGACTCGACATCTTTCAGTCTCTCGAACAAGCCGGATTCCGAAAAGGTTTTAGCACCATAGACCACATACATACCCTTCGGCAAATTGTATAAAAGACCGAGGAGTACCAATTTACCATGATGTCTTGCGTATGTGGACTATATGAGAACGTCGTTGATTCCGTCGACATTTGGGCGGTGCTACAGTCCCTTCAGCGGTGCCAAGTTGATTGTCGGTATATCGACGTGCTGAAGTGTTTGTACAGTAGGGCTACGATGGCTATCGAAGTACAAAACCAGAGTACGAAACCTATCCAACTGCTGAGAGGTGTAAGGCAGGGTGTTGTTATATCCCCGAAACATTGGAAGACTTTGAAGCTACTGGATTGGAAAAGATACGGTATTGCGATGTTAACATCAATGGCGATTACATCACTCACCTTCGATTTGCCGACGATATAGTACGTATGATAGAATCGCTGGAGGATCTAAGCACTATGCTCAAAGGCCTCAAATGTGTCTCCCAAAGGATAGGTCTTAAGATGGGCAAAACAAAAGTTATGTGTAACGTCTATGTCACACCAATGCCGGTAGTTGTTGGGAGCACTAAACTCGAAGTTGTTGACGAGTATGTTTACCTGGGACAAATAGTCCGACTAGGTAAGTCCAACTTCGACCGAGAGGTTAATTGACGGAATCAACTCGGCTGGGCAGCGTTCTGGAAATTACGACACATCTCGTCAGTTATACCTCAAAACTTGAAAACGAGACTGTATTACCAGTGCGTATTGCCAGTGATAACCTATGGATGTGAGACGTGGTCCTTCACTGGTGGCCGTATGAGGAAGCTCAAAGTTGCTCAGCGAGCTATGGAGAGGGCTATGCTCGGCGTTCCATTGCGTGATAAACTTAGAAATTAAGATATTCGTAGTAGAATCAGAATGACCGATATAGCCCAACGGATTAGTAAGCTGAAGTGGCAATGGGCCGGCGGCCTTATAACTCGAAGAACCGGCAACCGATGGCGAAAAAAGGTTCTCGAGTGGTAGCCTCGTACCGGTAGAGCGACCCCCTACTAGATGGAGTGATGACCTGGTAAGATATGCAGGAAGTCGATGGATGCAGGTGGCTCAGGACCGTGTTTTGTGGCATTCCTTGGGGGAGGCCTATGTTCCGCAATGGGCTTGTGAAGGGTGGTGATGAATGGAATGATGATAAATAAAAGGAAATTTTTACCAATATTATAAACTAGCTGTTGCTCGCGACTTCGCCCGTGTGGAATAATTTTGCGCGAAATCTTAAAATAAAAGTAGTCCTAGTTACTCCTTATAACATCAGCTATCTGCCAGTGAAAGTCCCGTCCAAATCTGTTCATAGGTTTTTGCGTGATGCGTGTTCAGACAGACATCGTATTTTTTCCGACTTAACATTCATGGCTATATTTTGACCAATTTACACATTATCTTTATTAATTATAGCTTATGTATTATTCTGATGTATAAGCTATATAATTGTAGTTTCTTTTTCTGTTTTTGCGTGAAAGAGTAACAACCATCCATAACTCCTCAAAAACTCACGTTTATAATATTAGTAGGATTTAAGCAAATACTATTTAAAGAAATTTTTGTGCAAGTTGTGAAACGGACTGGTTTCAGTCTCATAGCTCTGGTTTTTAGTACGGTTCGTACCTGGAGGCAACTCGGGCAGATGTGAACGAAAGCGTTGGCGTAGCCCTGCCACTATGCGGCGAAGGTGGAACATCATGGAGTTTTAGTCGGTGTGAGTCCGGCATAAGTCGTCCTTGCAATCGCAAGGCGGGTATGTGTAGGCATATGTAGAGTACGAGTATATGATGATGAGGGTGTGGTGTGTGCAGGGTGGGGCAGCGCCAGCGAGCGGGCGGCGGCCGAGGCGGTGAAGGTGCTGGTGTGGCTGTGCCGGCGCCAGGAGACGCGCGCGCTGTGGCTGGACTACTTCGACCTGATCCTGCTGAAGCTCATCAACGCGTACGCGCTCAGCAAGGAGGTCATGCGCGCCGTGGACGCCGGCATGCCGCACATCGCGCACGCGCTGCCCGCGCACCAGGTGACGCACGTACATACCTCGCTCGCTGTACTGCTGTACTGCTGCACTGCTGCACTGCTGCACTGCTGCACTGCTGGGTGGCTGTGCCGGCGCCAGGAGACGCGCGCGCTGTGGCTGGACTACTTCGACCTGATCCTGCTGAAGCTCATCAACGCGTACGCGCTCAGCAAGGAGGTCATGCGCGCCGTGGACGCCGGCATGCCGCACATCGCGCACGCGCTGCCCGCGCACCAGGTGACGCACGTACATACCTCGCTCGCTGTACTGCTGTACTGCTGCACTGCTGCACTGCTGCACTGCTGCACTGCTGGGTGGCTGTGCCGGCGCCAGGAGACGCGCGCGCTGTGGCTGGACTACTTCGACCTGATCCTGCTGAAGCTCATCAACGCGTACGCGCTCAGCAAGGAGGTCATGCGCGCCGTGGACGCCGGCATGCCGCACATCGCGCACGCGCTGCCCGCGCACCAGGTGACGCACGTACACACCTCGCTCGCTGTACTGCTGTACTGCTGCACTGCTGCACTGCTGCACTGCTGCACTGCTGGGTGGCTGTGCCGGCGCCAGGAGACGCGCGCGCTGTGGCTGGACCAGCTCTAAGCTCATCAACGCGTACGCGCATCAAGTTGCACACCATATACATCCCACTCCCCACACTACCACTTCCCCAAACATTGAAGAAACCCTACTGCTCGCTCTGCTGCTGCACGCAGCTGTGTACAACTGTAATGTGCATGCGTGCGTGAGCGTATGCGTATTAATCAATCAATCAATATATTCTTATTGTAGTACAACAAGCGCCCTTATCGCTATGGAAGCAAGCAGATAACCCTTTTTTCCAAAGAACTGTTGTTACGAATTGCGAATAGCGAAGGTGAATGCCTGCGTGTGCGCGACACGCGCGAGTTAGTGCGTGTGAGTTAGTGCTTGCAGCGTGCGTGTGCGTGCCTGCGTGCGTGCGCGCGCGTGCTTGTGTGTGTGTGCGCGCGCGCTTGTGTGTGTGTGTGTGTGTGTGTGTGTGTGTGTGTGTGTGTGTGTGTGTGTTTGTTTTCCCATTCCATTCATGTTGCAACCTTAATACAGCTGCAGCATGGCTCTACCACATAGTACACCGTAAGGTATTGTTTATGGTGAACGTTCCTGAAGATAAGGGTCAATGGTCTAGTATAATGATGATATAACAAAATGTTTGGTTGTAGGTGCTGGCACTCCTGAAGCCCGTAATCAGAACGCGTGGTTACCCGACTTCGTTGTGCGCTCTCAAGCTCGCGGCCGAAGTGGCGAAGGCGCGGAGTTCCGAACTCACGGATGATATCGTCTCGCAACTCATGGAGGGCGTCGGACAGGTACCTTGCCAATTATATTGCGTCGTCTCCTTCCCGTGTAGTGTGTTCTCTTACTTTATGCCGAGTGTATGCTATGTTGCTGTCGTGGTGATCGATTAAGGATAGGCCTTATTACGCATCGGTGAATGAAAAACAACGAAGGTACCAGGTTTATAGTCATCATCATCATCATCTTCTTCTTCATTATTACAGCCCTGCACAAGTCCACTGCTGAACATAGGCCTCTCCCAAGGAATGCAATAAAGCACGGTCCTGAGCTACCTGCATCCATTGACTTCCTGCATGTCTTACCAGATCGTTACTCCATCTAGTGGGGGGAAGCCCTATACCAGGTGCATATTCTATTATTATTTATTACTTATAAAAAAATGAAGTTCACATCCGTCAGCAGAGTAATGAATGATATTGCAAATATCTCCTTCATAGCGTGCCTCATGTTAGGGATATTCACCATACTTTCCACGCTTGGCAAGGGGCTGACAGTTTTCTATCTTTTAGTTGTTGTGAAGACCGCAGTTTTCTATCTTTTAGTTGTTGTGAAGACGATGCTGCCCATTTCCTGGTTTATCTATCTTTGTCGCTTCTTGGATGGGATAGTAAATGATATTCTTACACCGCATATTCGTACAGTTTTTAGAAGTGAAATAAATTTATTTAATGGTGTTAACTTTTTGTAAACGCAGCTGGCCGACCACCAAAACTCTGCAGTGCGCAAAGCGGCCGTGTTTTGTATGGTGGCTTTTACATTCGCTTTGGGCGAGGAACGCATGCAGCCACACCTGAAGCACCTCTCCGTTAGCAAGTATCGACTACTACAGGTAATTAATCTACGTATTATACGACTCGCTCCAACTTCGTCTCGATAGAATCTACTAATGTGGCGATATTTAGATGTATGATAATCCAAAAGCATTCATTTAATCATTTTTTCGTTTTTCAAAAAATATCATTAAGCTTTTGGGATAGAACATAGGCTAGATCTCTTGGCATTAATCTCTATCTCTAAAGTTCCGAAGATTAGTCCGGACAAACAAACAGATATACATTTTAGACGTGGTAGAGCCATGCTGCTGCTATACTGCTGCAGCACGGAGATGGGTCGGCTCGACCGGGGAATGACAACGCTCTCACAGAATACTAGCGTAAAATAGCAGCTTAATGTTGCTGCATTTCGTATGGTGAGTATAAAGAACCAGAGACTCATTTTACTTGTAACGAGGCATTTCATCTTAGTCCTCAGGGATGGCAACACATTTACATTTTGATTTTTAATTGAGGATAGATGTAAATGTCTATGGGCCGCAGCATCCACTTTTGTTTAGGTGGACAATGTGTGCTCGCTTAAGTGGTTATTTATGTCTTTATAGCATGCACACTTCAATTTTATTTATATACATAGATGTTTGAAAGTAACATATGGTCATTTAGCAAGGCATTCTACATACCACCATCTTGAATATTGTATTGAGTATGTGGAGGTTAATGGTAAATGTTTATATTTTAAGTTAATTATAATGGGATTTAAATGTACACAAACAAAAATCTCTAAATAAATAAAGAAAAAATAATAATCCTCATTTAAGGTAGTTTCTCCCTACAAAGGGTGAAACCCATATCCGACCGTTGCCTTTTTATGGGCTGATGGAAAGGTGCTTATCACGGGTGGTATTCAATTGTACAAAAGAATTAAGTGACGACTGGTGTTCCAGGTTTACATCAGCAAGCAGCGCGAAGAACAAGCTCGTAGCGGCGTAGCGTCGTAGCGACGGCAACTCGCGCGCTTCGCCTGCCGCGCTACGCAGACTGACGCGTAGCGCGCGGCCCCCGCGTAGCACGCAGCCCGCGCGCACCGCACGCACACGCATGCAGCCCCGTGCGCACACGTACCTACGTACGTGCACACCTGTCTACCGTCATAAAGACAAAATATTTATTTTTTCTGAAATTAGTAATAGTTACAAAATGTTTATTATTATATTTTAGGACAAACTAGTTTTTCCTAGACTATACTCATATTTCATTCGTTCATTTCATAAGACCAACAGGATCAACTCGATCTCCGCGGCTTTGCAATGGCCCACCGCACCCGAATTTCAATTAAAATTACTTTTGACTGGGGAAACATTTCTGGCTGTAATATATTATATGATAGCAGGTATAATTTTTTAAATATTATTATTATGTATATAACTTAATTTCGAAAAAAATATAGATTCTACCTTTTTACTTATGACGGCAGACGCATGTACATACAATGCAATATGTAAGAGGGTAAACTGGATATTATAATTAACAAATTCCAAAGAGCTGTAGATATTTATATCTTTAAATATTTCCCGATATGTAATGACGTAGTATTTCGTTCATTAAAATAAGTGAGTCCTCTTACATATGTATTGCGTAATATTTGCACGCATGTGCGTACACGTGTACGTACGCCCACGCTGCCACCTTCGGACACGCCAGCTAGTACGATGAAATTAGCAAGCCTTTCTATTTTAGCTAGCAACATAATAATAATTTAATTAATTATTCCCGCATTCCCAGTCATCTCATTGACGAGCCAATCTTACATGAGATTCTTGTCTTGTCATTCCGACATGTCAGACAAACTAACGCATCACATTACATTGAAAATAGAATTACATTACGATCAATTTAACTTCAAACGAAGGCTTTATCTGTAATAACATTAGTTAATACAAAATTCCTGTATTTTGTATTCATATTAGCATTTATCTAACATGATATTAAACTACTTAATGATTATTTAATCGATTCATTTTATTTATAGCCTTTGCGAATATCAAGAAAATTGTTTTACTTAACAGAAAAAAAAAACTATAAAAGGAAAGTTGCGTCTGAGCTTTAATATACTTTGGCAATGAGGTAGGTAATGTATCGAGTAAGGACGAAGGACTGTACGCATAAAATGTCGTTAGCTTAATACATATACTGTATTAACATTTTTTATTACTTAGTCGATGTTTAGCTTTTTGTATGTCTGTTAAATCTGTAATAGAAATCGTAAATATTAAAAAAATGTGTGTGAGAGAGACAAACTAACACACGGGGTTCTGATGCATATCTAGCCTAGTTGTATGGTTTGTGGACAAGCTATAAAAGACAAATTTAAATATTCTCTCATCCAGTGATAAGGAAAAGTTTGAGTCTTTAAATTTTATTAACTTTTGCGTTTGATGTAGTATTAAATTTGAATGAGAATCTTTTTTGCAAACTTAATCTTTGTCTATCTCTGTTCCTCGTATTGTAATTTGTGGCACTTTCTCTATCATTTTCTAATTTTTTTCTAAACTTATTAAAAAATTGTTTTTAAGCCATTTTACATAATATCGACCTTACATATAAAATATGCAGACTATCGCTTACTTAAATACATTATTAAATGTCTTTATATCTGTCTCTTTCCATTGTCATTTAGTGAAGAGATAGAGAGAGGACAACTTTAAAAGCATTTTCTAAACTGATATAGATTTTTATGAGTAAGGTCATTTATAAATAAACCAATTTATTAACGCATTTAATTTCGGTTTTGTCCATAAAATTTTTAATAGATTTTCGTTTAAATTTGGAATTGTTAAGGCTGTTTAATATATTTTATATTTACAAACATGTAAATTTAACTGCTGTGTGGGAACGCTCAGATTTCTCGACGTGGATTTAAATTCTCTATTTCAATGCAAATAGCACACAAAATGGTGAAAGTAGGATTAAGCAAGCACTTAGAAGGTATAAGATGGAGATAGAAGTTGGTGAGTCACATAGCTTATGCGTTAAAACTAGATCGGTAATTTTCTTCCGTCATCCATCTTCATGACTTTGACGCTATAAAGAACTAGATCGTGGAATGTCATTTGTGACCAGTTCTCGTTTGGGACGCACAGGCGGAAGCGAAGGAAGCGAACTTGATGGTTCATAACGATCGAATTTTTTCACATTCGTGAGTACTGTACAAAGCTATAAAGTAAGATTAGGGATATACTGATGTTGCGTTTTGTATGAGCTAGGTGCGTTCTTTATGATTGAATCGATGGTTTAAATTAGTTGAAGGGTATTTTGATGATTATAAAGACGAATTTGTTATTCCCAAGGCAAAGTTTTCGAGGTTGAAATAACTTTTCATGACTAACAGTAGATTCGGAATAGTATGCAGCGAGCTACGGCTAAGTCATCTGTCAGAGGGCATTTAATAATTGTAGCGGGGAAATTGTGCTGTTTTCTTTTTAAACGTAGTCGTTTTGTGGAAACACTGATTGTTCTGACAGGTACCTGACAGTTGTGACATATGTCAAAAAAGTGACGCTAAATTGATTTTTTTTTTTATAGAAGTTGGTATGCGTATGTGCCTTTATGCCAAAAAGTGTTACTTTGCGTTTGTAAACTCCAGGCTCCAAGGCTCGGTGTTTACCAGTTATGTTAGAATGTGGGCTGTTCATGTTTTATGATGTTGCCGTGTTAGGTTTTGTTATGAAATGTACATTATTTGCGTTTTTTCTGCTCTTGTCTCCTGTATAAAGCAAATTTGCGTGAAAAACTACTGTTTTGGTACTCTCCTTTTTATAAATAATTTAATTTTTATAATTGGAACAAAATTTCAATTAATTGAGGTTTTGCTTGGTAGTATACTGATTGAACAAAATTTAAAAAGGTTCCTTCATTGCTGATGTGTGATTTAAAAGTAAGGATTGCAAAATAATGCAAACATGTTTTATATTTGTATGTAGCTACGCCTAACAAAATAATTGTCGCTTTTGTATTTAATTATTTTTTTTAATTTCCTTATTCATTTAATTTCATTTGTATTAATGTATGTCTGTGATTGGTGACTAAACTATTTTAATCTCTCTTCCAATTTTTAGTATCGTAGGTTTTATAAAATATGTATGTTTTTAAAAGATGCAGTGTACATATTTTGCCAAAGAGGTATATTAGTTTACCTAGAATTGGCGTTGGTTAAAATAATTTATCCATTAACTTAAACGTGCACTGTAAGACTAAGAACTTATGGAGCTATATTGACCCGCGACCGCAGCTTTTTGTGGATTTGTGTCTGTCACGGAGGGGGTAACGCCTGCAATATTTGTGGTAGATCGTAAGGCGGGTTATTTGCGATGGATCGATTGCCAGTAGTGTTCCCAGGCTGGCATGCGTTCGCTTCCCCGCGGTTTAAGAGCGCAGAGCACGCGGGTACCGCGGTCTGAGCGATTCTACTAGTTGATTGCCGATACAGCGGCAGCCGCAAACAAATACACGCGTCTTTGACATAAATCGCTTAGTAAAATTTATTATAGTTCTATTTCTACACTTCTCTATATTAATACTATAGTATCCCCTATATCTACAGTAATCTACGCGAGTCTCGGTCCCACTACCGCTGCGTTTAAGGGTAAATATCGCGCTGTGAGTTTTTATTCTAAGACTCAGTTGAAAATCGAAATCCTCAGTTGTTTTGTAATCGATTTTATCGCTTTAATCGATAGCTGTGATGTATTGCGACGGGTTCGTCTACATGAAAATTATGCATAAATATATTTGATGGTGCGTTTTAGGTGATCACGATGCTCTTTAACTTAGTCCTATTGTTTTTTCTATTACTTTACAGTGTAAATTCGAAAACAATTTGTGTATACATTCTATTTGCCATATACTTTCTAGTAACCAGGCGCAAAGAATCTCATATATAATTTGTGTACTAAAATGTAAAAATAAATGCAAATAATCACGGCGATGTGTCTTTTACTTGGAATTTTGTTAACAATATTAAACCAATATATACATACGTGCGTTATTTTTTTTTTTTTCATTATTTGCTAGCATATTTCAAATTACAATTTAGAGTTTATCATGGTTGAGAGGTCTGTTTGTGGGTTTGCGATTGCGTGCGTCAATTTCTTCTTCTAGATTCAAAAATTCAGTTTCAACAAGTCAACTTAAATCGGTTGGAGCATTATTTATACACGATTACTCTCTTGGAGTTTTCAAAGGAGATGTTCCTCTAACAGGCCAACAAACAATTGTCTACATGTTATCTTAAAATAATTAAGCATGTTCTATTTTTTAACCACACTTTAAAAATTAAAAACGCGCCATCATCAATAATGCTCAACACAGACTTTACAGCAAACAGACCTGATTACACGCCCCCCCAGTTATTTGATTTGCATTACCTCTGCATTGATATTCCGGCGGCAGTATATTGTACATGTTGTTTCGCCGTTAAATGAGTTGAGACGTTCAAATTTAAAGAGTGGAGCACACTAAATACGTGTGCGATACGTCTGCGTTAAAGTTTATATAAGGAACCTTAATCACACACGGTCAGCATTCACGCGCTGCACTCTGAATTTAATGTGACTTTTCCATACATTTAAATATGTTACAACTTAAAGATACATAACATGGCATCTTAAATATAATGTTTTTTCGCAAAGTAACGCCTGATTCTAATTATGTTACAACTTTTACAGACAGCACACTCTCTGTGCACGCCACGCACACACATGAGTCAGAAAATTGATTTGTTAAGTTTCGCAAAGAAATCTTTGTAATCGCCAATAATAAGAACAAGTTTTCGTATTTGATTTACATGAAATTAAGATGATATAAGGCTTGCATTTAACGTCTCTTGAAGGAATTCCATTTTGTATGTTATTGATGGGAAGCGTGAAATAATATATATTTTTTAATTATTTAAATTATGTAAAGAATTTTACTTTCCCTTCAATTAATAGACGTAATACAT